GCAGCGGGGGTGGCCGGTACCTGCTGGTGGAGCCTGAGGTGCAGCTCCATGACCTGTTCTGATCTTCCCCCACGCTGCTAAACTTCCCCAAATGCCATTTTTTAAAGCAATGGACTTGCCCAATTAACTGGCTTGTGGTGGGGACCGAGCAGGCAGGCGCTTCCCTTGCTCTCAGCTGTGTCTGGGCTGCTCTTGGTTGGGGAAGAGGAATCCCTGGACCGAGGTCTCCAAGTGGAGCAGAGTCCTGGCTGGGGCACAGGGTGTCCCTTTGAAATCACCGCACTGTCAGTCGTGGGGGTGGGGAGTCTGGAGGTCTTGGAGCTCTGCAGCTCTGCCCTGCCCAAAGTCCTGCCTGTCAAGAGCCCCCCACGTAGCGTCTTCGGCTCTTTCTGCCGGAGGCTGTTCCCCCTCCATGAACGCCCTTCTCCAGCATGGTGAAACCCCTTCCTCCTCCCTCGCACTTCCCTCGCCCTTCCCTCGCCATCCTGGCTATTGGGAGCATTTGTCCCCCCCAGCCCTGTGCCACAGCATGGCCTGGCTCTGCTCTCCCACCACAGCCATCCCTCGGTCCCGGCGTGGCCATCCCCAGGCAGGGGGGTATCCTGCACCATCAGTGATCACGTTTGCTGCGTGCCATGCCGGTCCATCCCCTGGCCTCTCTGCCGGCGGTCCCAGGGCTTCTCTCCTCTGTCAGTGTCTGTCCCCGGGCAAGTGACAATCCTGCCACGGCTGATGGATGAGCTCCATGTCAGGGAGGTGGCAACTGGTCCAGGAGGGGCTGTTTGCCCGCTGCTCAGCAGAGAGGACGGCACGCTGGCAGTGCTGCTCAGGTGCTGCTGCTTTGGAAATGTCAGTCCTGTACTCAGTCGGGCTCCTCTGCTCGCAGCACGGTGCCAGGGAGAGCAGCCTGCGGCGTGGCGAGCCCAGCGCTTCCCCCTGCCCGGGCGGAGCACTCTGTCCGTGGTGGCAGAGGAGCTTGGTGGACCCTGCACAAGGCACTCTCGAGGGGACTGTTTTGGGACCCCCATCTCTGTGTCCCTGCCCAGCCTTGCACGCAGGCCTTCCATTCTGGGAAGGGGCTGCAGCTCCAGGCAGGCTCTGCTGGTGCCACAGGGTTGGCCGTACCCCGCTGGAGTCTCTGCTCGGTTTTGGCTTTGTCCCATGGGGCTGGGGGCGTTTCTTTGCCTACTCCAGCAGGGAACCCTGCCCAGGGGAGCTGGGAGAGGGCCTGGCTCTGCTGCATCACTCAATTCTGTCTGGTCCCTGCAGGAGTCTGGTGAGAGCTACCTGGAGAAGGCTGAGAAGATGTACTCGCAGATGTACTCAACAAGGGAAAAGGTGAGAGCTGCTCTGAGACGGGAATTGCATCCTTCTGGTGCCGACCCCTTGGGGGGTCCTCTCTTCAGCTGAACCGGTTCTTAGGGCCCTGCGCAAGATGGGGACAGGGAGGAACAAGCCCTGGAATTTGCTGGTGGTGTAGGCAGGAGGGGCCATGATTTGAGTAGGATACGGGGGAGGGAGAGGATGAAAGGGTTTGGGATTTGCTGCTGTCGAGGGGAGCACCAGCCTCCGCTTGTCAAGAGTGGGGGCCTGGGTACCTGACGCTTTTCTGTTGTGTTTTTCTGTCGCAGAACCTGGTGGGAGACCAGGAGCATCTGACGATCCAGGTGAGCGAGCTGGAAGAGGAGGTGAGCACCCTCCGGAAAATCAACAAGAACCTCTTTGACTTCTCCGCTCGCATCATCACCAAACCAGCCAAATGAAGAGGCACCCCCTGCCCTCGCACCCCTCTGCCTCTCCCTGCCCAGCTCCTGGGGAAGAACCAGCCCGCCCTCGGGCACCTGCACACCCAGACGTGCAAGCACGCCTGGCTCGACTCCTCGCCAGCACCCGTCACACGCCGGAGCACTTGCCTGCTCGGTCTGGCGTCCGTTCGATGACACGGGACTGAGACAAGCGCAGGGGCTGCAGGGCTGCTGCGTGCGGGACAACACAGGGACCGTTTTCACCCCGATTCGGTGCTCGGTGCCGGCGGGGGCGGACTCGGAGCGGCC